AGTGTGTGCATGGAGGGTGCAAAGTCTCAATACAATTATAAAGCTATAGCAATCAGAAGCATGTGTGTGGACGAGTGGACGGATGCTCAGACAGAAGCTCTGAAGACACAAGGAGAAATTTCTCCCCTTTGGATTGGACGTGAGCTGTGCTCTGGCAGACGGCACAATGCGAGGCGGTGACATTCTTGCCCACTTGGGAGCCATCGAGGAAGGTCATATTGCCTATGAGTAGCAATTTTAAAAATCTCATTAGAGAGTGCCTGCTTAAATTCTTTATTTCTGGGCCACCCATGTGCTTCCTCGTTAGTAAGGAGGAGAATTGGGTGACGCTCACGGTTGTGGATTGGTGCAGTTTGTGCAGACTTTTAAAAAAAAGAGCTTCAGTGGCTGGGTGTGGTGGCTCACACCTGTAATCACAGCACTTTGGGAGGCCAAGGCAGGCGGATCATCAGGAGTTCAAGATGGGTCTGGCCAGCCAACATAATGAAACCCTGTCTCTACTAAAAATGCAAAAAATTAGCCAGATGTGGTGATGTGCACCTGTAATCCCAGCTACTTGGGAGGCTGAGGCAGGAGAATCACTTGAACCTGGGAGACGGTGGTTGCAGTGAGCTGAGATTGTGCCATTGCACTCTAGCCCGGGTGACAGTGCGAGACTCTGTCTCAAAACAAAACAAGACACTGGGGCTTTCATGCTGGTATTGGAAGAGTGGGCATTGGCAAGGACCATGGCTGAAGAGGACAAAAATAAGAGGTCAGAAAAGCAAACTGTCAGCCATCCTGCGTGGCCCGTGAATTCTAACGTGTGTCCCAAGGAATGTTGGGAGACCCCCGCAGTTTTACAGTTGGTGCATTGAACAGGGTACATTCGTGTGAATTATTCATCCAATACTGAACACCTACCTGTGCACGGCTTTCCCAGTGAGGAGGGCAGGGCTGGTGTTCCCGCTGTGTGCCCGGGAGGGAGGCAGACGCACGGGCTGTCATGGGAGAAGCTGGGCTCCAACAGCCCGTGGAAAGTGACCCATGCGCAGGCACAAAAGCCCTGAGGAGGACATCAGCTTGGTGCACTTGAGGGAGCATCACCCACTCGGCTCAACAAAGGTTTGGTGGTGTGTGTGTGTGTGCGTGTGGGTCTCACACATGTGTATTTATTGACATATGCAAGAGGATTGGAGGAAATACAGGAAAACGCTTTTGCCATCCTGCACTTGAGAAAGCTGGCATGAGGCAAGACACAATGCCAAACACTATGGCCCCCAGACCTCCCTGCCACAGGGATGCCACTTTTTCTGCACCGAGTGTTTCCACGAGGTTGGCATGCAGTCTTCCCTGGAGAAGCGACATACCGTAGAGAGACAGGTAAGAATTTCTACATGTAGGAAGGTCACAACCATGACCTTAGGCATGAGCCCAAGGGAAGAGAGTGTGATATATTTGACTGGATTGTAAATGAAATTTCTGTGCAGCGGAAGACACCATACAGTCAAGACAGGAGCAGCGAGAGAACCTCTGCCCAGCATAAGCTGGGCTGAGCAACATGGGTGACGCTGTGAGCTTGATGCCCTCTCCATCCAGAGCCAGAGGTGGAAGCCAGGCCCTCTTCCCAGCCCAGACTCCTACACCACCCATTTGAGCCATCGTGCACATGCTGGGCACCGACTGTGTGCACAGCAGAGGGAGCTGAGCTGCATCCAGAAACAGACCCAGGAGTTCACAGAGCCAAGGCCCCAGTCTCCACCCCTGGAGGAGGGTGGTGCTGAGAGCAGGGCCCCCGGCTCTCACTGGCCCAGAGCTCACCACGCAGGGGCAGCCCAGGCCCTCTGGGGATGGCATGGGGTGTCGGAGGGCCGAGGAGCAGAAACAGCTGGGGAGGCTTCCCTTGGAGGACTGGGAGGGGTCAGGACTGCCAGGACCTGCCCACTGCCTTCTCTATGGGGCATCTGGCTGTGTCTGGGAGTATCCTGTGGGAGGGTCCCTTTTTACCATGTGGGATCAGTGGTCCAGACTTGTCGGGAGGCCAAGGATACCAGGCATGTCAAGTAGGCTTTTCCAGAAGGTTCTCCCAGCATCCGGGAGGGAGTGGATGGACTGGTCAAGTGAACGGTGTGAATGTCAATTACATGCATTGACATTCAGTGCTCATTCTGCGCTGAGGGTACCCTGTGAATATGTGGCTCACCAGTGTCCCACCCCATAGGGAAGGTGGGGGCCAGGCCCTGGCAACCAGGGCTGGAGCAGGAGGAGGCTGACCAGGAGCATGGGGGTGGGGAGGGAGAGAGGGACCCCACTGTGCCACCCCAGCACAAGGGACACTGGTCTCTCTGATTCCTGGGCTTCCACGAGGCGGGACGTCCCTCCTCCTTCTCTGGGTTCCTTCTCTGCCCCAAGGGGTGGTAGATACAGTGCGGGGTTCCGCCTCAGGACCTCAGGAACCGCATATGTGGTACACAGTGGGCCTCCCCAACAGCTGCTCATGAGCAAACAGGCCCAGCCCCTTCTCGTGGCCAAGGCACAGACACACACAGACAATGACAGGACAGAAAGGAACCTTCCGGGGAGTTCCCCAGACACACCCAGATGCCTACTTCAGCTCTGCCCCAAGTCAGAGGATTTCAGCAATTCTTACAGGGGAGAGCGCCGGGGAAACCACGTCATCAACCTGATCCTTTAGTTTTCATTTCTGGGTTCTGACAACAGCCCCAGCACCATCCCTTCAAGCAAGTGACCGAAAAATGAACAAAATGTAGTCACTCTGGGCAAAGAGGCCACTGCACTCATGTCTGGGCTGCAGATGCCCAAGCAGTGGCTGCCCCTGCCCACCCTCGGCCAGGGAAGGTCCTGGCCTCCCTCTCTGCTGGTGGGGATCCCCCAACACCCTCTCTTCTCTCCTCTCTGGAGCCCTGCATGGGTGCGTGGCTTGTACAGTGAGGCACAGGGGGCATGGGAGACAGAGGGCCTCACCCTGGGAGGACAGCACTGTCTCCTGTCCAAGGGCAGGTGCAGCCACCCCCTCCACCTCCCTGCCCCCCTACCCTTTGTACCCCCACCAACTTGGCCCCTTTGCCTGGAGCAATCTTTTGGCTTTTGTGGTCACTTGCTTCTAGGATGAGGAGGGCAGGGCTGTTGTCAGAGCCCAGAATCAAAGCCAGAGAAGCAGGTGGATGTAGAAGCACTCCCCTCGCCTGCTCCATGGGCAGTGTTGAAGTAAGCATCTGGGTGTGTCTGGGGTATCCCAAGGAAGGGTCCCTTTTGTCGTGTCACCCTGTGGGGGTTGTGGGGGCACAGGAGCAGGGATCCCTTTCTGTTCTGAGCTCCTCAGACTCCTAGCTTCCCTGGACCTAATCTCAGAGCTTTGTCCATGACCTGGGAGCCCTGTGGGTCCTGGGGAGGGGACTAGATGCAGCCCCATGACACTGGTGAGACCTGAGCTGGGAACTGGCAGCCTGTGGTCTGTCTGGGATGTAGCGGGGTGGGGCCCCACAGTGTGGTAGAGCCAGGACCTCATACATAGCAGCATGGTGGACTCCAGACCCGAATGGCACCTCCATTCTGGTCCCAGGGTGACGCAGGCTTAGTGGCCCAGCAATCAGGGCCCACCTCAGGGTCCCTCTGCCCTGGTCTGTCCCTCTCACCCAGTCTGGACCCCTGTGGGGCACATGCCCTTTTCCCAATTTTCCTTACAGGGACCTGGGCAAATCCCAGGGAAGCCTGCACCTGTTAAGGAGGCTATTCTCCTGCCTCCCCCTTGGGGACCCAGTTTCTTCCTCTCCCCTCAGACCTTCCCCAGGCTCCTGTGGAAACTCCAGCAAGACCTGGGATTTTATCACATTTTCCACCTAAGAGTGATTGTTCAGCCAACATTCCAGGGACAGAGATGGGGGAGGGGCTGTCCTTCCCCAGGAAAGGGTGAACTCTCCTTCCGTCTTCCTCACAGTTGGGCTAGGGAAGGTGCGTGCTCTCAACCACCTCTGGTCTCCCCTGATGCCTTACAGACGTTGCCCTGTCTTGGCCGCAGGAGGACCAGGAAGGGGCCTGTTGTGTCTGGGACATTGCTGCCCAGAGAAAGTCAGGCCCTAATGCACGAAAGGTTGTGGATGTGGACAGTGTGGGCAGTGGGGGGGGGCACATAAGTCCCTGGGGAGCTCACCCAGAGGTTCCAGGTTGTGGCCCTTATGGAAGTTCTGGGGTCCAGGAGCTGGAGTGAAACTGGTCCCCACTCATGTGAAACTGGTCCCCGCTCAAGTGTGCTGGGCCAAAGTGAAACTGGTCCTCACTCAAGCTGTGCTGGGTGCAGCAGGGGGACCTGGGAGAGAACAGGGCCAGATCTGCCTCTGGGACTCAGGGGCTTACTTGGGGCACAGTGTCCCTCACATTTCTGCAGGGCTCGGAGGTGGGAGAAAGGGCACAGGGTGGCCCTTCTGAGTAGGGGTGTGTCCCTGCTGGGGACTCTGTTCGCTGGGAGGGCCTGGGCAAGTCTCAGTACCTTTCAGAGCCTTTATTATCTCCTCTGGATAATGGGGGTGAAAACACCCCTCGCTCTAGTTTGCAATTATTAGATACACTGATGCATAGGAGCATGCAGGACTTCCTGGTCTCTCATCCACAGCCAAGGAAGAGGACACAGGAACCTAACAGAGCCTGGGATGCGGCAGGTGCCAGGGAGCCTGGACCAGGCACGTCCTGCACTGGCCGCAGCGGGGGACACAGGGCTGGCTGCCCTGGAGGCTGCTCTCTGGGGATGCTGAGTCTTATTGAGGACCTTGCCTGCCCTCTCACCTGTCCCCTGCCCTCCTGCCTTCCCGATTCCTGCAGCCCAAAGGGAGCAAAGTATGGTTGGGCCTATATCCTATTGTCACTCCACAGTGTCCGGTGGGTCTGTTGTCAGAGTGGGGACATCAAAACCAAGGCTGGCCCGAAGGTGTGGCAGAGAACTTCCTTGTTCTGATGCTGACAGGGTGGCATGCATGGCCTGAGTTGGAGAAAGGGTGGGGCAGAGTATCACTGACTCAGCGCTTCCAGGTTACTGATGATATATTAAGGCTCCCAAGTCCTAAGAGAATGTCGGTGAAGCTCTCAACATCACAGCTTGAGCAAGTCTCAGGAGTGAGAGGACACAGACCAGGAACCGAGAAGGGACGAGGACATGGAAGCCAGCCCAGCATCCAGGCCCAGGTATGGGAGGCCCGTCTGAGCCCCTCTGTATCTCAGCCTCCTCTTTGAGCTTTTCTGAGGAGCACTCACCTCTCACCCTCAAACCCCTGGGGCCTCTGTTTTCCTCCTGACCCTCTCTCTGGACCTGGCCTTTTGGTCTGGGTTTCCAGTTTTGGTCCCAGCACTGGTCTCTCCACCAATGGTACCAATTCCATGCATCCTTCCACCTCCTGGGGCAGGTGCACAGGAAGCCTGAAAACCCGGTAGATAATGGTGCTGTGCCCCAGCCAGTGAAGATGGTCAGAGTGGGGATTCTCCTTGCTTGACTCTGCATGAGCGTCTATTTCTTGCAAATGTACCCTGTCTCTGGACCTAAGCCCTTTTCATGTTCAGTGTCATCTCGTTCTCCCTAATATTAAGAAAAGGAAGTTGGTTGTAGGACCACTTTGCTATGAGGAAGTCTTGTTTCCCTTCCTTGAGAACACAAAGCAAGTGAGGGCTAGAGCCCAGATTCATCCCCAGGTCTACTGAGAACAGTAGTGAACAGATTCTGTTCCTTTCTTTTTCTTTCTTTCCTTCTTCTTCCTTTCTTTTCTCTTTCTTTCTTTCCTTTCTTCCTTTCTCTCCCTTTCTTTCTCTCTCTCTCTCTTTTCCCTTCTACCCTCCCTTCTCACTCCCTCCCTTCCTACCTCCCTCTCCCCCTCCTTCTTCTCCTTCTCTTTCTCTTCCTCCTCCTCCTTCTTCTTCCACCTCCTCTTTTCTTTCCTTTCCTTTCTTTCTTTCTTTCTATTCCTCCCTCTCTACCTCTTCCCTCCCTCCCTTCCCTCTTCCCCCTTCTTCTTCTTTTCCTTCCTTTCTCTCTCTTCCTTCCTTCTTTCCTTCCCACCTTCCTTCTTTTCTTTCCCTCCCTCCCTCCCTCCTTCCTTCCTTCCTTCCTTCCCTCCTTCCTTCCTCTCTCTCTCTCTCTCTCTCTCTCTCTTTCTTTCTTTTGTTGCTGTCTCCAAACAGAGATTTCTCTAATTCTGATTATGTCAGGATGCATTGAGAGGATCTGGGAGAGGCCTTCTGGTGGGGCTGGTGTTTCCAGCCCAGGAGTCCTGAGCTACCCCAACTGACCTGAGAGGCACATTTGGGAGACCTCAGGGCATCCTAAGGGATGTGGAAAATCCTATGAATTATCCTAAAAGAAGTCCCTAGCAGGCTCCTCTCCCCAGTGATCCCACTCAGGAGTGTCTCTGCCCTGATGCTGGGTGTGGTAGTGTTAACCCAACAGACAGGAGGGAAGCCCCAGCGGGTCCACTTCCAGCAGGGGCTGAGGACAAGCAGTGCCAGCAGCGAGGGGTGCATGGTGAGGCCAGGGAAGGAGACCCCGGGGAGAGGGCCTGAGGACACTAACCTGACCCTGGGAGACCCTGACAAGACCTAGATAGGCCCAGGGCTGTGCTGACTTCCTGATAATACCCCAGAAGAGGTCAGAGAGAGAGGATCAGTGGCCTCCACAAAGTGAGTGGAAGCCCCACCTCTGACAAGTGCCTCAGTATTTGGGGAGCACAGGAAGGAGTAGGGGGTGCAGGGGAGGAGTGAGCAGCTGAGTGTCCCCTGCCTTTGTCCACAGACCCCTGATGGGTCCACGTACGTTCACTGAAAACTTTACCAATAACCCTGAGGTCTTTGGACGGCACCAGACCTACTTGTGCTATGAGGTGAAGTGCCAGGGTCCCGATGGCACCAGGGACCTGATGACTGAGCAGAGGGACTTTCTATGCAATCAGGTGAGCAACCCAGCTACCCGCATCCAGGCAGTGCCCTCCCAGTCCAAGGACTCTCACAGGTAGAAGGTTCTCGGTGGTACACGTGGTGTCCCGCAGAGTGTCTGCCACCTGTGCTTTCTGCAGCAGCTGCTGCTGCCGACCCCACCGTTGGGGGAGACTTCGGCTTCAGTCACCTTCCACGGCCAGGTGGGGTCGAGCCTGCCTGATGGCAAAGTGCTTCCTGAGACCCTCCCAGGATCCCCTCCTCACAGACGCAGCTCTCCCCAGGAATGATTCAGAACGGTGGGATTTGAGGACTCAGGGCCGACCCGATGTCTCAAGGCCAGGATTCCCCAGTGCCTGCTCCTGGGCTACATCCTGCGGGGAGAGAGGCTGAGGCAGGAGAGGCCCACCAGGGATTCTGTCCTGACCAGGGTAGAGCCCACAGCAAGGCCAGAACAGGCCCACATCAGGATGCAGGGATGGCCAGCATTTGGGGAGGAGCCGGGACAGGACAGGCCAAGAGGCCCTGAGCCAGGGGGGCGATCTTCCCTGGCCCCTGCCCAGCACAGCCCCTGGTTAGAGAGGCCAAGTTCCACTTGATTCTGGTGCTGGAAACTGGGGGCTCCTTTGGGCTCTGTGAGCAAAATATGGGCCTTGCTGGACTCATACACACTGCTTGAAATGTCTGTTTTTGTTGTTGTTGTTTTGAGGTGGAGTCTCGCTCTATCGCCCAGGCTGGATGCAGTGGCACGAGCTTGGCTCACTGCCACCTCTACCTCCTGGGTTTAAGTGATACTCCTGCCTCAGCCTCCCAAGTAGCTGGGACTATAGGTGCACACCACCACACACAGCTAATTTTTGTATTTTTAGTAGAGACAGGGTTTCACTATGTTGGCCAGGCTGGTCTTGAACTCCTGACCTTATGATCCACCTGACTTGGTCTCCCAAAGTGCTGGGATTACAGGCATGAGCCACCACGCCCAGCTTAGAATGTCCTTTCAGGGGCTCCAGTCCCCATAACTGCCTAACCAATGGGACTCCTCCAGGAATGACCCACAGCCCCTTCTCAGCACAAACCATGTCATCCACTCCACTTTGTGTCCTCTCCGAATGGAGTCCTTCCCTGTCCTTGTCCCCATCACAATCACAGTCCTTGCTGCCCTGCTGTCCCCAGCTTGATAAGTTTCTAGTCTTAGGGGAAAGTCCTTTTCTCTGAAGTTTGGAGCAAATACCATATTTCTATAAGTCACGGCAATGACAATTATCCCACGACTCAGGGACCTTCCCACTTTGGAGTAAGTCCTGCTGGTCTTCTCTTCCCCATGACTTTTGTGGAATCCCCTTTGGCCTAAGTCTATGTCACCTTTGGGCTCAGCATAGGTTGTGGCACAGAATAGAAGCTTCTAGAATTATGGGCCGCAGATGGGATAGAGGTCGGGGAGTTGATAAATAGAGCTGGTCTACCTCCCTTTGAAGGAATCACACTCACTCAGGGGCAACAGGCCAAGGATCCTGGGGCTCAGCTGGCCCCTCCTCCCCGCGCCCATCTCTGTAGCCCCTCCCTGTAGGACTGGCCTGGAGTGAGGGTGTTGAAAGCTCTGACCTTGGGTATGACATTGAAGGGGGCTTCAAATGCTCAGTAATTAGAGAAAACATATTTTAATTTAATAATTAATTCAGTATTTTTAAAAGCAAATTTAATGCACTTCTCCAAAGTGGGAAGGTACCTGGGTCATGGGATGCTATGGTGAATAAAAACGAAGATTTTAAATAGAGACTGACAGGAGAGTGCTGTCCTGTATATATCGGAGCTGGGGCAAAATAAAACGTCATTGCTACTGATCTGGGTTATTTATTTATTTATTTTTTGAGATGGAGTTTTGCTCTTGTTGACCAGGCTGAAGTGCAAGGGTAAGATCTTGGCTCACTGCAACCTCCACCTCCCAGGTTCAAGTGATTCTCCTGCCTCAGCCTCCCGAGTAGCTGGGATTACAAGAATGCGCCACCAAGCTTGGCTAATTTTTGTATTTTTAGTAAAGACAGGGTTTCACTATGTAGGCCAGGCTGGTTTGAACTCCTGACCTCAGGTGAGCCACCTGTCTAAGCCTCCCAAAGTGCTGGATGTGAGCTACCACGCCTGGCTCGATTTGTTTGTATTTAAATAGACAATGTTTTGCTTATCTTGGGACCTTTGCATAACATTTGATACTTTGAATATTGCACAGAAAATCCTTCATCCTAATAACGGGTTTTGGTGACCCCTCTAATTTTGTCCTGGAGGCCCCTGCCTCCCCAGCCGTACCTGGTCCAGGCCCTCCCTCCCTGTTCACAAGGTATGACCTCACAATTGGTTTCCTTTTCTAGGCTAGGAATCTTCTCAGTGGTTTTGATGGCCGCCATGCAGAGAGGTGCTTCCTGGACCGGGTTCCTTCTTGGCGGCTGGACCCGGCCCAGACCTACAGGGTCACCTGCTTCATCTCCTGGAGCCCCTGCTTCAGCTGTGCCCGGGAGGTGGCTGAATTCCTTCAAGAGAACCCACACGTGAACCTGCGCATCTTCGCTGCCCGCATCTATGATTGTCGCCCAAGATATGAGGAGGGGCTGCAAATGCTGCAGAATGCTGGGGCCCAAGTCTCCATCATGACCTCTGAGGGTGAGAAGGGAAGGTTCCAGTGGGGTGGGTGGGGTGGGTGGGGGCAGGAGAGGTCCATGAGAAGAATAGGAAAGGCCTTGGTCTGCTGCCTGCAGAGGCGAAGGCTGCACTCTGCGCCTGACTTTGGAGTCTATGGGAAAAGAGGCCAGGCAAGGAGATGGGGGCCTGGGAAGGGCGGGGAGGGTGGCTGGAAGTGGAAGAAGGACTTGGGGCTTCCAGAAAGAATGAGAACTGGGGTGTCCCAGATTCCAAAGGGAAGGAAGTGTCTGATGAAGGAGGGAAGTCCCTAGGGGAGGGGGAGGGAAAGGAGGAACTGAAACCAGCATGTGGAAATCTGTCCTGAGTCAGGGCCCTCGGTGCCTCCTTCCCACAGGGGAACGTGACTTATCTCCCCTGTCCCTTTTCAGAGTTCAGGCACTGCTGGGACACCTTTGTGGATCACCAAGGACACCCCTTCCAGCCCTGGGAGGGACTAGATGAGCACAGCCAAGCCCTGAGTAGGAGGCTGCAGGCCATTCTCCAGGTGAGGGCTCCCTCCCTCTGCCCAGTGCCCCATCGGCCTCCCCTCCTCTCCTCTCCCCCTGGGCCTTGCCTTCCCCTCTGCTCAGAGCTTCCTCTGGGTTCCCTGCTCCCCCAAGGGCGCCCAGCTCTGTCTCTCCCTTTCCTTCTCACAGCTTCCCTCTCTCTCCCATCTCCCGTGTCCCCCCTCCTCTCCCATCATTGTCCCTGTCCCCAGGGCTCCTCCCTGTGCCCTCTTTCTACTCTCTGAGTCCCTGCTCCATTCAACTCCCCTGCTCTTCCTGAATCAGGGAAACCGATGGATGATCCTCAGTCTCTAAGGAAGGCAGAGACCTGGGCTGAGCAGCAGAATAAAAGATCTTCTTCCAAGAAATGCAACCAGACTGTTCACCACCATCTCCAGCTGATCACAAATGCCAGCAAAGCAATGGGCTCCTCACAAGTAGATTCTTTAAAGAATCAGAGTGAATTAGTTTTAATTGAGGCAGGCTTTGTGGCCCACACCTGTAATCCCAGCACTTTGGGAGGCCGAGGTAGGCGGATCACAAGGTCAGGAGATGGAGACCATCCTGGCCAACATGGTGAAAAAGACAAAAATTAACTGGGCCTGGTGGCACCTGCCTGTAATCCTAGCTATTGGGAAGGCTGGCACTTGAACCCAGGAGGCGGAGATTGCAGTGCACCGAGACCGCTCACTCCAGCTGGCAACAGATCTAGACTCTGTCTCAAAAAAAAAATAAAAATTAATTGAAAATGTCTGTTATGTTCCAAATATACAATAGTAAGATTATGCTCAATATTCTTAGAATTGTTTCAATTAATTAATTAATTCAATTTATCAATGAAATGATTACTTTAATTGGCTTCGTATCTAGACTAATAAAACATTAAGAATCTTCCATAACTGCTTTGGCTCAGTAATTGTATCATGAATTGCAAGTGTTTACATCAACACCAGCAAATGCGTACCTGCCTTTCCTTTTGTAGTGGACCTGAAGTGGACAAAGGTCACACTACTTCCCTCTAGGGCCAGAAAACTTAGCTAAACCTCACAGAAGAGGAACCTAAATGCAGACCCCACCCTCACTCACCACCCATGCAGTGATTGGAAGGGACAGGCCCCACAGGAAGAGGACAGCAGCCTGTCTCCCTGCAGAAAAGGAACCCACATGTACAGTCAGGGGCCACTGGGAGCAGCCCTGTGTCCACCCCTTCCTGATTCCACCCCTCTAGACAGGGAGCCCAGGGGAGGCCATGGCTGAGTGTGGGACAGGGCCAGGCAGGGGAAGGAGCTCAGGGAGAGTGCAGGTGTCCAGGCTGGGGTCTGGGGAGCAGCCCAGGAGGCAGAGCCCAGCTATAGAGGGGAGGGGAGCTGAGCCCTGGGGACAGGAGGCTCCAGAGGCAGTGAGGGAGCCCAGGGTCAGGGCGGCAGGTGTCAGGGTTGTGACTTCACTTTGGGGTCTGTCCCAGGCCTTCTGTGCTGGTTCCCAACTCTGGGACATGTGACTTATGTGCCTGATTACAGCAGGCGGCTCCCACCTCACAATTTCTGGAAAGTCCTCAGAAGCCACACACATGACCAAGAACGGGCCTCACAGGCAGCTGCTCCTGGGCAGAAATGACTCACTGCTTCTCTGGCCTAGACACACACACACAACTCACATGCACAACACACCACATGCACCCACAACACATGCACACACACCATACACACACAACACACACATTTGCACTACACACAACACAAACAGCACAAAACATATGCACAAACAACACACAACACACACATGCATACAACACAGACAACACACACATACAACACACGCTCACACATACACACGCACACACACAACATACACAACACACATGCACACATACGCACACACAGTGACAGAGTCTTGACAGAAAGAAACCTCCTCCAGCTGCCCCAGAGCACTCCAGGGCACACCCCAGCCCCGCCCTGAGCAGAGGGCTGTGGTGTTTCCCACGCAAGGGCGAGCACAGGAGGGACCGGGTTGGCAAAGCTGCCCTTTGCTTTTGTCTGCTGGAGGGACCAGGTTGGCAAAGCTGCCCTGTGCTTTTGTCTGCTGGAGGGACCGGGTTGGCAAAGCTGCCCTGTGCTTTTGTCTGCAGGAGGGACCTGGTTGGCAAAGCTGCCCTTTGCTTGTATGTCTGGGTTTGATAGCAGCTCTGACTCCACTCATTGGAAGCAAGTGATAAAAAATGTGCAGTCATTCTGGGCAGAGGGGCCAGTGTAGGGGAGGCCAGAGGGCCTGACCCTGGTGAGAGAACTCCACAGTTAGTCGTGTCACAGGGCAGGTCCCAGGGAGATCTTTCCTGTTCCCCAGAACCCCACCTCCCCAGGGCCCAGGCCCCTGTTCCCTGGGCCTCAACTCACAGCTTTGCTCATGACCTGGCAGCCCTATGGGTCCTGGGGAGGGGACTGGACACAGCCCCATGACACTGCTGAGAACTGGGCTGGGAACTGGCAGCCTGTGGTCCTCTGGGCTGTAGAGGGGGTCAGGGCCCCACAGTGGTGGCAGAGCAGGGACCTCGGTACAGGGCAGCACGGACTCCAGACCCCAGTGGGGCCTCCATTCTGGTCCCAGGGTGACCCGGGCTGTGCATCCCAGCACCTGCCCAGGGTCCCTCTGCTCTGGTCTGTCCCTCAATAGTCTGAACCCCTGCTGGGCACCTGCCTTGTCCCCCCTTACAGGGGACCAGGGTGACTCTCAGGCAACACCTGCACCTGTGAAGGAGGCCATTCTCCCTGCACCCATCCCTGCCGCCCACATGGGGAACCAGCTTCTTCCTGTCCTTGGGGACGTTTCCTGGGCTCCAGCGGAAACTCCAGTGGGATGTGGGGTCTTTCATTTTCACTCAGTGTTACAGAGGCCGAAATGGGGGAGGAGCTGTCGGTCCGCAGGAAGGGGCACAGTCTGCTTTCTTCTTCCTTGCAGTTGGCCGAGGGATGGCCACACTCTTATCCCCATCACTCTGAGGACTGCAGCACTGATATGAGCCTAGAGTCTCCCCCGGGTTCTATGGATGCCTTACACACTCTGTCCTGACCTGACCTCAACAGGACCAGGAAGGGGCCAGCTGTCACTGGTTTTTTGCTGTCCTGAGAGAGACAGGTTTCAGCGCACAGAGGAATGTGGGTGTGCAGGGTGGGGCACTGGCAGGGGGCACGGCAGTCCCGGGGAACTCACCCTTCTGTGCCAGGTTGTGGCACTTATGAATGTTCCTCCAGGGGCAGCTGTGCTGGGTGCAGCAGGTGGACCCAGGAAAGGATGAAGCCAGGCCTGCTGCCGGGACTCAGGGGCTCACTTGGGGCAGGAGCACAGCTTCCCCACATTTCTGCAGGGCCTGGAGGTGAGAGAAAGGGCACAGGGTGACCCTTCTGATGGGGTTTGTGTCCCTGAATCACTCTGTTCGCTGGGGGGGGCCTGGGCAGGTCTAGGTAAATTTCAGAGCCTTTAGCATCTCCTCAAGAGGGGGCATGGGGATGAAAGCACTTCTTGCTCCAGTTTGCCATAAATAGATGGACTGACACAAACAAGAGCTTGGCATGTTTGTCTCCTTCCTTTCCCAGGGTCTGGGATCAAGGCATAGGACACACTCTGCTCTCTGCACTGCCCTGGATGCAGCAGGCGTGCCCTGTGCTGGCCGCAGTGGGGGACGTAGGGGTGGCTGCCCTGGAGCCTACTCTCTGGGGGTGCAGAGTCTTATTCAAGGCCTTTCTCCAGGGTGTGGACACCTGTCCTTCCACCTGTCCCCTGTGCTTCTGCCTTCCTGGTCCCTGATCCCCAAAGTGGCTGAAGTGTGGCCAAGGCAGGCTTTCCCCATTGTCACTCCACAGTGTCCACGTAGGGCTGTTGTCAGAGCAGGAATCAAAACCAAACCTTGCGGGAAGACACAGCAGAGAACTTCCTTAATCAGTGACACTGATGTGGGTAGCATGGGCGGCCTGAGTTCAGGAAGGGATGGGGCAGGGCATCGCTGACTCAGCAGCTTTCAGGTCACTCTGAAGCTATGTAAGCTCCTGCATCCTAAGGGCAACCGGGGAAGGACCACAGGAGCACATGCTGTGACCATCACAGAAGGAGGAGGACCCTGAACCATGAACAGACTAGGACATGGGGCCAGTCCGGTGCTGAGATCCAGGTCTAGGCCCTGCAGCCTTTCGGATCCTCTGCTCCCGAGCCTCCTCCTCAGGTTCCTTGATGGTCACTTGCCTCCTGTCCTCCAGGGGCTCCTTTTGGTTCCCTTGCAGGCTGTCCCCTCCTCTTGACCCTCTCTGGACCTGGCTTCTGCTCTAGGCTCCCAGCTCTGGTCCCAGCCCTGGTCTCTAGTCTGATGCTCTCCATTGAGTCTCCTCCCCTTCCTGGGGCAGGTGTGCGGGGTGGGGGGAGGGGGGCAGCAAATCCCAGGTAACAGCACTGTGCCCGGAGAGCCAAGATGGTTGGAGGGAAGATTCTCCTCACCCACCTTTGGATTAGCACCTACCGTTTCTGGCACATGCACCCTGTCTCCTACCTCGGCTCAGCTCTTTTCATGCACAATCCCACCCTATCTTACCTAATATTAGGAAGAGGGGATTGTTCCTGACACCATTGTGCTTATGAGGAAAAGCCATTCTTTCCTTTTCCTGTGAACACACAGAGAGTAAGTGGTAGAGTCCAGATTCACACCTGCGTCCATGCAAACCCATAACCAGCACTGAGGCCAGCACTGAGGTTTCCCTGAGGCCAGGCTCATTAGGGTTGTGTAGGCTGCACAGGGAGAGGCCTGCAAGGCCCAGTAGGTGTTTCCAGCCCGAGTCCCGAAGCGGTCTACCTGGCTGGAGAAGCATGGATGTTGCTTATCTGGGAATACACAGGATGGTTGTGGGATTCTTCCTTGCCATTTTCATGTATACAACTTAAATTTTAAAATTAAAGAAAAGATGCCAGGCGCAGTGGCTCATGCCTGTAATCCCACTACTTTGAGAGGCTGAGGCAGGTGGATCACCTGAGGTCAGGAGTTTGAGACCAGCCTGGCCAACATTAGTAGACCTGCCTCTACTAAAAATACAAAAAATTAGCTGGGCGTGGTGGTGCATGTCTATAATCCCAGCTACTTGGGAAGCTGAGGCAGGAGAATCGCTTGAACCCAGGAGGTGGAGGTTGCAGTGAGCTGAGATAGTGCCACTGCACTCCAGCCTGGGCAACAAGAGAGAAACTCCATCTCAAAA